TTCGTCGACCGACCGAATTGCCTGCGTTGGGTGGCAGCCAATACGGCGACTCTCGTCAGCGATATCATCGCTCCTCGATCCTTCCATCTACGGACTTTTGCCATTGATCGTCTATTTGCCATTCGCCCATGAGAACGTTCATTTATTAACTCCGCATTCGCTAACCGTACTAACTTCCTTTCGCGCCGACTACAAAAGAATCGTGTCCGTGTGATGCCTTTATGATGTTGTCACGCTCTTTTCCCTTTACTTAACGCGCACATGACGCATATCGCGTTTATATTTTATATTTTATTATGTCTATGTTTTCATTCTGATCAATATTAATTAACGTACGTCGTTTCTGTCGAGATGTATAACGTATATACATATACTTACAAATTTTCTCCAAAATAAAAGTGTTTATGCTCTCGCAAACGCAATTTTCTGTGATCAGCGTGTATTTTTTTTGAGTTCAGTTTGAAATAATTGTGTGATATCGCGTGGAATCGCGAGATGGAATCGTTTCGCCTGATCCCTTCGCACAGTCGTGAGAGAGAAAGAGAGAATGGATGCTCTGGAATCGTTCCTCTGGAGATGAAGGAGAATGCTTTCTCCTTATTTACGGCGAAGCGCGATAATAGCGTGGATGATGGGGCCCCCGTCCCGAAGCGAGACACTGAACGTAGCCATGGCAACCGCTGCCGTAGCCATATTGGTCCACAGCCAGCTATCGATAATAGGAAAGATAAGAGGCAACCCCCGGGCATCCGGGATATTTTATTGTAGGCAAAATGGCGTCCCAGAGTCTCCCGCTTTATGCCAACTGTCCCGTACGCGGCGAATTCGTCGTGGCGCAGTTTCAGCAAAAAAAAAACTCTAATAATATAATATTAGACAGTTTGCTAAAACTACGAACTACATCACGGAAAGAGAGAAAGTGAAGAATTTAATTATCTCACACTCAATATATCCTTTGAATATGTATTGCTATATATACGCCGCAAGGAGAGGGCAAAGACGAATTAGAAAGGTCATGTTGATATCAAGTCTTTTAATATATTTAGCATTAACAAATAAATTGAGCAAACTTTGAAATACCCTGTATAATAATAATTCCTCTAATAAACGTGCATGCATGTAGATATGTGTTTATACACATAAAATATTTGTCGTATATTTGTTTAATGATGTTAAAATTCGAATTACATTTAATATTTACATTCCATTGCCGAAATAATAATTATTACGTTAAGTACAGTTAGCGAAGAATTCTGACAACTCGCCAGTTGAATAAATGCTACTTTACGTATAATTAATAAATTTATTTTATTAAATTAATTTGGTAAGTTACAACTTATAGTTTATATAAATAAAATGTATAAAGTTGTTCATCGAAAATATTTCGTACGGAAAGATAAGATTTACAAATAAATCTCTTGAAGCAAAGTGGATAGAGAAAATAAAAACTGTAGATTATATTAATAATTCGTAAATGGCGGCTGTTTATTAAATTAGATATCTTTTTATGAATTAGTTATTTTAAAATCGATATAGAAATTAAAAACCACAAGCTATATTTACGTATGTAATTATGTGGAGTCGTATTTTATTGCGCCATTTCAGCTTTCATTTTGCCCTTTTCATTGTATCAAGTTATTATTGTATATAATATCAGAATACAGTTGCCAACGCTATTTTCGGGATTTTTAATTTAATGGAGTCATGCGGATACAAAACGGTGACATCAAGTTCAATTAAGAAACATATAATTATTACCGTATATTTTGATCTTTATTCAATTTGATCTTTATTACATAACGACATTTGTTACATCAAAGATTTATTAAAAACTTTTCGCTGAGAAAGAGATCATAATAACGGTTTTTTACTGCATGTATGTTACTATCCGCGTACAAAAGTGAATAAAGTGAAACAAAGGAATTAATAGAATTGTTTTCTGTTTTATTTTGCCACATCTCTAAACAGCTTAGGTTATACATTTCCTCAAAGATAGTTTCATTGCGCAGTAATACGATATTAATGATAACGCTATTATATGTACATTTCGTGGCAAAGTACAGAAGTGTTTGAAAAGAAAGCTCGTCACTCTCATAGTTTTTCAGGAGAGTATTAAGTGCCAGATCAGTAATTTTTGTTTAATTGTTTGGTATGATTAATTCAATATATAATAGAATAAAATATACGTATGAGGTAAAAATACAAAATAAAATGAAATATTATTAAAAAATAATACTAAGGGGCCTTTTTCGTTCATTTCTCATAATAATGTTTATGTTTCTAAACAAAACGTATTGAATATTTAAAATTGTGCTTGTATTCTCAAGGAACAATCATGATTGTATAATGTAGAGTTGTAAGCACGTCATTGCAAAGAGATATTGTTGCCGTCGTATATCTTCATATTACTTTATAAAGTTGAAACTGACGATGAATAGCCCCGCCCTACCCTGTATTCTTGCTCATTTGTTTTTTGATATTTCGTCGCTGAATTAAGATTGCCGAAAAGCAAATATATCCCAATATACCTCCACCCCCCTCAAAACACACACGCGCGCGCGCGCGCACACCCACCCACCCACTCACCCACGCACGCACGCACGCACGCACGCACGCACACGCAAAATCAGACCAGCAACCTCTCCGTGATGCGCATCGGGTAATGCTAATGCTGACGGTAATTGAATAAAATGCATAAGTTTGATACTGTATCCCGTCGAAAAAAAATCGTAAAACAAAGCTTAATTTTTTCTTAACTTGTAAGAGAAAAGTCCATACTTTACGATGGTTATCATGACATTTACGAAAAAAATTTACGAAAAAATTACTGTACCCCGTAGAGTGCGTTAAACTATACAAATTTCTAAAAAAAAAAAAAAAACGCCCTTATTTTTTAAAAGATGCTAGGTAGAGGTAAGGATAAATTCAAAATCCATTAAAAGCTTCGTACGGTACAGATTTTACTCTTGAAAATGAAAAAAAAAGCTTTCAAATGCGACCATTTTTCACGGAGTTATGCGTACTTGAAATTATGCAAAATTTTGGTATAAATTTATGTTGCGATAATTTTGTTGACGAGTGTAATTATACGCGTATAAAATAAAAGTACAAATAGTTGTACTAAAAAAATAATACTTGATAATATTAATATTATATTCTTGCTCGTTTATTTTTTAACATCTGGTCGCCGAGTCAAAATTCATAATATCAATTTCGATATTATGAAATAATAAAAGAATAGATGATTAAAAAATAAATTCACATATATGCATGAAAAATAAAAAAATTATACTTATATCATACTTATTAATAATACTAATGACGCTAATAATAACAAACGTACATGCAAAAAAGTGAAATAAATATTATATATGTATAATATTATATATGCAAATAGATAAAAGTGTGTGTTATAAAAATGCATTTATTATTTATACGTTCAACTGAGCAAGAAATATCTAATTAAATTTTTTCCGATGTAGCTTATCATATTTTAAATAAAAAATATATATGTTTGTATTATATAATATTTATTTGTTCTTTTTCCATTTCTTTTTCTATAACTTCTTTTTTTTATTTTCGTTGCATTTTAAAGTTTTTTTTTCTTTAATTTTTTTCTATAATTTCATCGCCAATCGATTGCGATTACAGTACAGCCACAGTCATGTACGGCGAGAAGAGATCATATTATATTTTATCATTGTTTTATTTTACATTATACCGTTTTGATCCTTGTCGTTTTTGTATGGCTGAAACAAAAGAACTAAGAAAGAACATGGACAATAGGAGTCAAGTGCGGAAGACGTTGCGCAAATAATACGACTATAAAGCGTAAAACTTCTTTATTTTTATTGCCCATGTTCTTTCTTAGTTCTTTTGATTTATAAGGAGTCTTGGTTAGTTTGATTTGTTATACGAAATGGCTGAAACAACTTGGGCTGAAGTGGGTTTTTTTAAATAATAGATTAATTACTCTAATAAAAAAATTCTGATCTGGCACATGCTTTTCTCATATACACGTATACACAATCGCTGTCATAAATATACATCTCACTGTAATAAATTTACAAATATATATTTTCCAATGGATTAATTTATCTTTGCGGAAGATTAATTAACGGATGATATACATAATACATATATATATATAATACATATATATGTATAAATATGTGTGTGTGTGTGTGTGTGTGCGCGTGTGCGTGTGTTTGTATGTGTATTACGTTATATCACAATATTTCAGGAAGCGACGTGAGGCTGCGATTGTGTAAATGTGCAATTCCGAAATCGTGGAGATAATACGCAAGTCAAGTCTAACAATAAGACATTTGAAGTTTAGGACAGTGTGAATCTTAAAACAAAACCCTGAATGGATCGCCACTTTAATTACCTAGCACACACGCTCTCCCAGATGATCCGTATTCCCATTATCCCCAATTATTAAAAAATATTAAACCATTAAACAGGCTAAATATAATACATTCGAATAAAAAATAATTATCTTACATGTGTACAAATGTACATTACCGCATGCGTAATATATGTACAAAGAATGACCGTATAATACACAACGTAACATTAGGTGATAATTGGGGAAAGCGCGTGTCATTATGGACAAGAGGGAGTCGGAAGAGCTTGTCTCCTTTAAATTTTAGCAAAGAAAAACAATTAAATTATGAAAATCATTTGACGTAAAATTATTTTTATGAAAAGTTAAACTTATATTAATTCGTGGCTCACGCCACGTAAAAAAAAGCCGACGATTCTCAAAGGCTGACTTTAATATAGATATATTGATAAGTTTTGTGTAAAGATAAAATTTTGCCCTCACCTCCTCCCCCGACCGAAACCCTACATACGACATGCGTATTATGCAAATGTATAATATATACAGATATTTACATACATACACGATTGTAGTCATTGCCAATCGATTGCGATAGTCACAGCTACAGCCGTGTACGGCGAGAAAAGATCATATTATATCTGATTGTTTTAATTTACATCGTACCGTTTTGATCCTTGTCGTTCTTGTATGGCTGAAACAACTTGGGCTGCGGTGGGTGCCGTAGCTGCGATGACTGAGGTGGTTGAGATGGTTGAAATGGATAAGATAGCTGAAGTGACTGCGGCTGTTGATGCTGCTCTTGCTCCTTCTCTTTTTTTTCCTTTTCTTTCTTCTCCTTCTCCTCCTTTTCTTTCTTTTCCTTTTCCTTCTTGTCCTTCTCCTCCTTCTCCTTCTTCTCCTCCTCCAACTCCTTCTCAGACTTGTTCAATGAAAGCGACGATAAGGCTGATATATCCGACGTCGAAGGAATTGCCACGTGATGATTGTACGAGGCGTTACTCACGTTGTTCTCAAATGGCAGTACCGTCATGACCGGTACACTCATACCGTTTAGTCTCATCGGCTGCTCGCCGCTGCTGAGTCTGTCTCGTTGTGATATTATTGGCATGACGGGTGCGGTAAGGCGATGCGCGTGATGCGAATGATCCGGATGCGAATGCGGCAGCGGCAACGGCAGCTGCTGGACCGAGTGATGAGACGGTGGATGCGACAACTGACTAGGAGGACTCGCTCCGTAATCGTACTCGCTGGAGGAGGAAGAATTTACCGGGCTAAGTTCTTCGATTAATGGCGGTCGATATGGCATGGTGACAGGAGGAGGAGGAGGAGGAGGAGGAGGCGGATTGCCCATGGAAGGAAAGGCGGAAGCGATGTTCGGCATCTGCATACTCGACAGGATATGCAGAGGTGGCATTGACGGGTGCGAGGGCAGCGATAGGTGCGAGGGTGCGGGATAAGGGCCGCTCAAAGGACGGACATGTGGTCGATGGAGCGCAGTAACTGAATTGTTCGGATGATACCCGGTATAACGATAATAAGTAGACGCAGCCGCGGCTGCGGCCGCGTTCGGATACGGTGCTGCCGAAGGGGCCAAGTGTGTCGTCGCTGATAAATTCGACGTGGGAATAGCCGGGTAACCCATGTGCGGAAACGTCCCAGCCGAGGCAGCCGCGAGCAACGCTGCTGCTAGAGTAGGATCCGAATTCCACGAGAAGGGCCATGACAAGGATAGCCGCTGCCTCTTATCTTTCATGCGTCGATTTTGAAACCACACCTGTAAAAAATTTTTCTAGTCATGATTAACTTTTTTTAAAAAATAAAACTTTGCAATTATATAATATATACACTAAAAAATATTATGTTGTACCAACAGCATTATTTTAATTAAAAATAATTTTGTTAATTTATATAATAACTTTATTAGTGAAACAAATACGTTATGCTCATATTTCAATAAAATTTCATTTCTTTCATTAATAAAAATGTTATTGAATCAACAAGATTATTTTTAATTAAAATAATGCTGTTGATGTAACATCATTTTCTCTTCAGTGTAGTTGGAAAATTTGTGTTAAATTGATATTCACAACATTTCTTGGTGTCAAAATGAGTAAGTTGATAAATAACATGAAAGTAATATATTTTAAAACATAAATATTCTAAGATAAATGAATAAAATATGTGCTAATTTAACATATAATATAATATATTAATTTTATTGAAAAAATATTATTACACAGTTTGCTTAAAAATTGTGTTAGTATCACCTTTTTGCCTTAATTTTGTAACATAATATTCGTGTTACTTTCTAACATATTCATCTTGTGTTAAATTAACACAAAAATTTGAGTGGAACCGTTTGGCATACAAATTTTCCAACTATGTAGGTAATTATTAAGAATCTCTCTTGATAACTCGCAAGAAATAATCGATTCCACTTCCCCGTGTCTGTTTAGCTTTTTGTTCGACGTTTATGTGCAAACCGATCGAAACGCGAGTCTTTTCCTGCCGTTTAATAACGTATATTAAAGTATGAAAATTACTACTGTTTTAACAGAATGAGACTTGGCGCGATCTTATAGGTGCATATATATTTCTAAAAGATATGCGCTCATATACGTAGATTCACGAATGTAGGGAATTCTCGGAGGCGGCGAACGATTATACCGGTAATTCGTGCGGGACGTTTACCGTCATTTAACACCTCTTCGCCGTTCCCCTCCTCTCCGTTGTCCGCCGCCGTTTTACGACCGCCAACCGAGGCGAGTGCGAGCTGCCGCGAGACGAGAAATTAAGAGATCCATTAAAGTCCGAGGTGGGCCGCGAGGCAGTCGCTAATTGAGCCGTTTAACACTTTCGCCCGACCGGTCACCCCTCGATCAGGGCCGTGACTAAACTGTCGGTCTCCGAAACGTTAATACGCGGCTATAGTGTGTATGTACATTCGTATACATATATATGATATAAGGGAGGGTCCTCGTTCTGATTCGTCACGATTTCCGCGGGATCTAACGTTACGGCACTGTCGCGGGACACGCGAGAGAGAAGGATCAAAGGCCGAGAATCGCGGCCGTCGAATCGCTCTCTCGAGGCTATAATCGCCGATCAAATATGGCCGCAGCTGGCCACGGCAAGAAATATCCATCGGCAGCTCTCGGCGGTTCGCGCGAACAAAAACGTCACTAATTGCTTTTATTAAGCCGCTTGACTTTAAGAGTCCTTGTCTTCACGGACACGACGTGGTGGCCGTGAGAAATTAAATCGGGATACGCGAGGAATACTATATTACTTAAATGTCTTAAATAATTCCAGTAAAGAAGACGGAATTAAGAAAGAGAAAATGATATGGCAATGAAAAGATAAATATCTATACAAAAAAGAAAAATGTAAATTCGACCTTTATTCGCATATTTATTATTAATAATCATTAAATGATCGAAGGATTTTCTTAATAATCCGTCGCGAATTCCTCAATTAAACACGAAAGCGCTAATGGAAAATATTATTGCGATCACAAATGAAGTCACTGTTTATCGAATGTGCGAGTAAACGTTTGCTCATTCTCGATCAATTCACGGCATTAGTCGCAACATTCAATCTAGCGTTTATCTAATGGAAGAGAGAGAGAGAGAGAGAGAGAGAGAGAGAGAGAGAGAGAGAGATCGAAGTTATATCTTTTACTATTCTGTTTTGACAGAGACTGAAAACTGACTTAAGTGTAAACGTTAAATAATTTTGTCTAAACTGATTCTGCACGAACAATGCACAATTATTTCAATGTTTCTAATAGATAAACGTGAAATATATCGATAAAATGAAAAAAAACTATAATATGAGACTGTGAAATCATTAACTCTATATACTCTAGTTTTTTTCCTGTTGTAAAGAATATTAAAAATGTGTAACTAGTAAATACTGATCTTGGGAAACTCTAAATTAACTTTCAATTTTTTAAATAATTATTAAAAAATAATTTATAATTTTTTGAAGAAACATCTAAACTGATTCTGCACGAACAATGCACAATTATTTCAATGTTTCTAATAGATAAACGTGAAATATATCGATAAAATGAAAAAAAACTATAATATGAGACTGTGAAATCATTAACTCTATATACTCTAGTTTTTTTCCTGTTGTAAAGAATATTAAAAATGTGTAACTAGTAAATACTGATCTTGGGAAACTCTAAATTAACTTTCAATTTTTTAAATAATTATTAAAAAATAATTTATAATTTTTTGAAGTCACAATACTTGCACACACACACACACACACACACGCACGCACGCACGCACGCACGCACGCACACACACACACAATAATAACATATAACAAGATTAAATTAAGAATGAAGATTTTTGGATTATGACATTACGATAAAAAAAATTAAACAATGGTAAAATATATATACGCTTAATTATGATGAAAAAAGTAAAATAAGATTTAAGTATACATAAATATATGTGTGTGACTTCAAAATTAAATGGCGTTATAGAGAATTAATGTATGACTTATCAAGAGAGAGTATGTCTCTTTAGAAAAATATACTTGTATCTTTTTTTTATTATATATATGTTTTTACCTTTATCGTAGACTCTGGCAAGTTAAGCTGTGTGGCCAATTCGCATCTTCTTGGACGGCTCACATAATTTTCTCTGCTAAATTCGCTTTCTAGCCGAGTTAGTTGCTCCCTCGTAAAGGCGGTTCTATATCTCCTCACGTTAGGATCTATAGGAGGGATTGGCGTCTGCTGATGTTGCTGTTGAGACTGCTGTTGAGACTGTTGCTGGTGCTGATTGAGACGCGAAGTCGATGATTGTAGATCTACGTAAAACGCTGAACATTATAATCTTCCTTAATACGCTCGTAAATAATTTTAATCATTTTGAGAGAATGCATATTTTTGTACACATTACACAATTATTTTACACAATTAATTCGCGTATTAGTGAGCGATTTCGTTCCCTTTAGCGATAAACTCGGAATATGAGTGCAACATTTTTTTTTATTGGTCTTGTCTTCAATCTATATATTTTTAGTTTTAAAATGAGCAGAGGATTTGGCAAGAAACTGTATATGTTAAAAATTAACCGAAATAGTAAAATCATGCAAATCCGCCTTTGTTTTACACAACTTGCTCCTTAAAGAAGCAAAATGCGTACAAATCTTTCTTTTTGTCACACCGACTAGTGTCGATGTCTTGGATCTAAGTATTTTTATATTTATAAAGATATAACAAGGAATGCTAAAGCTGCCAACTAAATTCTTATTTTCACGTTACCCAGGCAAGTTATTTCAAAGTATATAATAGCTTCGTCTATAAATTACAAATTTTCCGGAAAGAAGACTATAATATAATAAGTTAGCTTAGCGACAAACGCAACTTCTAACAGCAGGAAAGCTGTTAGAAACTAATAAGAACTTTTACGTTAACAGAGGTATTATAACTTATAGAGGTATAAAGGATGTTTCTAGTTATATATTCTTTAGGAAAATCAATATGTTGTAAAGCTGTGCCGATTCAATTCCAATATTGTAATGTCAACCAGGCAATTTCGAAGTACTATTTCAAAGTAGCTTTGTAGTAGTGAAATATATATAATTACAAAGCTATCATAAATTTTCTCTAAAGAAAAATAAAATACAATAAGTTAGCTTAGCGATAAACGCAACAGCGGGTAAGTTGCTAGAAAGCGAACATTTTTTTACGTTTACAGGGATACAACAAAAGATGTTTCTTGTCATATATTCTTTAAGAGAGTCGATGTTGTAAAGTTGTACCATTTCAATCTCTATATTGTCATCTTAAAGACACAATAAGTTAGCTTAATGACAAGGGTCACAAAAGAAACTAACAGCAGGTAGAAATCTGTTACAAAATAGCAAGGTAGAAAACGTCGTTTTACAGAGTTACTTCCGGTCGGTCTCGCTTTGATTTTTCTGCGTACAACCTCTTCGATTTTTCCTGGTTAGTTGTTGCGCGGAACAAACATGAAACTGCGCCACGATAATAATGCAAATCACATAAAATAGCCAAGAATGAGACAGAAGACGATGCGATAATAAAAGAAAATGAAAATATGCCATCATTTCTCGGCATCAATTCTCGCGTTTTTAATGCCGCAAATACGAAGAGATGTCATTGTCGCGCGACTATGATGGTAATCGGAAGTAATTGCGTTTTCTCGAATCGATATATTTGTTATAGCTACATATCCTCACACAAAACTTATTAAAATACTTATATTAAAACTAGCATTCGAGAATCTTCAGCAATCTTTTCTTCCGAATAACGTGTGAGTCACAAATTCAATGAACGTTTAATTTTTTATCATAAAAATTATTTTCATAATTTAATTATTTCTCGTTGCCAAAATTTAAAGTCGGTAAGCGCCCTTCCTCCCCCCCCTCCCTCCTATGTACGCCGATGACAATAGGCGCTAATTAATTATATCAAATATTTTTAATATAATGTTAATATTTAATTAATATTTTGATATTAATATAGCACTCTTTCTTTCTTATACGTACAAGATATCTTAAGTCCAACATTATAGAAAAAAAAAGACAAAATAAAAACTTTTATTCATATAATCGACTCAATATGTCTATTTGTCGTATATCGATATACAACAATTAATTTGAGCGGTCAGTCCAATTAAAAATGCGATTAAACATCAATAATAATGATGTTACACGCGTCAACAATGCCCTATATAGTCCTATAATGATGAACTTGCGGAACATTTGTAAAATGAGATTTCTAGAATTCATACATATACATTCATAGAACTCACCATTATCAGAGTGCGAATTGCGCGACGTGTTCACCTGATCGACGACAATGTTGTCCTCCTCTGGATTATTGTCCGGGCTGTTCTCTTCGTCGTAATGATTCCTCATTTTGTTACTTTACAACCATTGAAACACACACATATATTAATCAGTCATATCATTCATGTATACATATATGTAATACAATCACAAAAGTATTTAAACGTCTGCAAGCTTTAATATCGCTTGGTAGCGAAATATATCAGACCAAACTTTCCAAGTAAAGTGATCAGGATTTTGTAGGTAAAAAGCACAAATTTCGGAAAAAAAAATACAAGATTTAAAGTATGAAGAATTAAGAATTTAAAACTTCTTTTCCAAAACTTTAAAAATAATTCAAAGCTGGCACAAGAATTAAAAATTGTAATTTCAGATTTTACGTAAACGGCGAAATCACATGTTTATTAATGGATGGAGAAATTTTATTGCCAACTACGTACGTTAATTAGCGATCAATATTTTACGAGCCTTATGCGATCATGTGCAACACTAATTGTAAGGCCAAATAAGCACGATTATTTTTATGTAGTTTTGTCAAGAAGTAAACTTATTGAACTGAAATATTTACATTTTATTGGATATTAACATGGTATTGACTTGTTCTAATTATACAGTAATTGTCTACAAATGAGGCTTTCTTTTTCTAACAAAATATGCATCGATTACATGACCGATATATTACTATGTTCTAAAAACGCTTTACAGCATAAATTGACATAAATTTAGCATAATACAACACAATTAATAAAAATACAAAACTTATAAGTGCAAAGCTAATTTTGTATAAGTTGCACGTAACGTATCTTATATTGTATATTTTGAGCATTGATAATAAATATCGGAACGCAGACTACATAAAACGAACATTTTCAACTATAATAATATACATTTAAAAAAAAAGCCTTAATCTCAACTATTGTAGTCTAATTCTTTTTTGAAGTGAAGAGAATACGTAGACTGCAGGCTCCTTCTAAGATGTATTTAAATACAACGAGCAAACTTGAACGCAGTTTGATTAATCAGTTTCTAATTTCTAAAATTTTCATTTAATAGTCTAAAGAATATAAAACTCTTGAAAATATTATTAACACGGAAAATGGCATGATGGATGATACGCGGTATAAATATGTAAACTGTAGTATTACTGATTGTGTTATAATTCGAAAGGTTCAGTACAATATTTCGTTAGCAGACGTTCCGATACTTTCGCGATCATCTATATCTATTTATTCCCGGAAAAAATAATCCATATGTGATTAAATATTTTTTAAGTCTTATGATTTCCTAAATTTAGCAAATTGAGCAAATCTCGCGCCAAAATGATACAACACACGCCAATAGCAATTTTATTTCATTTTCTCATCTTTCGTAAAATAAATTAATGACGCATTTAAACTGCTTAAATTATTGAAAATTGCAGCAGATACGACAAGAATAAGTACGCGAAGTCATATACAATCCTTTAAAACAGTAATGAGTAATCTATTTTAAGGGCTATTTTCAGAGGGCCATTTTAAAAAATAGTTAAAATCTTTTGTATATATAATAATATTTTTTTGTTTGCATAAAATAGAAAATATGATTTTATATTTTCGATTATGAGCTGATAAATTTAAATAAAAAATTCACAGATGCAGACCGCAGATTACACATCACTGCTTTAAAAGATTGACAATTATTATACATAATGAATAGAAAAGATGCGATATTGTCGACATGTGAGTGTTTTAATACTTGAACTCCTTATCATTTTAAACTCATGTCTCACGACAAGTCACTCGCAAAATGTAAACATTAGAAATTATCGGGCGCTTCTAACGCGGAGAAATGTCAAACAAAATATCAAATGGAATCATAAGACTTAAAAAAAAAGCTTCAGTTGTGTAAGACATAAACGATTCGCAATCTCTCATTAGCACATATTCTATGAGGCTCAATGGTATAAGTAACTTACATGTTGTCTATCTTCTCTTATCTGGAATTAAGTAATGCACCACTAGAACGTATAATCACACTTCGCCCACTTTCTCCCGGAGAAATGTATACGGTAAAGAAAAAAAAGAAAAAAAAGATATGTTACTGATCACAACATGCACAAATCTTTCTCTATTTAGTGCGAGGTCTGTGCGGCACCACGAAACCATACAATGTATTTGAACTACGAGCGTAAAGTAACAGTAGTTCTATATATAGCATTACGGTAGATGAGCCACCTCCAGCGTCCGCACACCGAGTGGGGAAAATGCCGCCCTTATAACGTCCCCTCCAACAGAGAGGTGGAGTCGGTAGCACGATGTTGCATAACATCATAGCCGTATAGTGAAGCAATCCTGATGGTGGGAGACGGCAGGATCGGATTTACTTTTCTTGTAGCCTTGGTCAAATAGCAATAGAGGTTTTGCAGGTAAAGTTTTTTTGAAAATTTTTCCTCAGCGAGTTTCCGAATAAAAAATACGGTACAATTGTTAACGTTTGACTTTACGTAGATTTTACTGTAAACGATATAATAAATGCAACATGTTTTTAACGTAAAAAAAGATTTACGAGAATAACAATATATTCTCTGTAAAGAAAATTTATTGGTAGATTCGTTTACGATATTAACGAAAGAAATATGTATGAGTTAATTAAAAATTTAAGACCATATCAAGTTATGCATGAAATTGAATTCTTTGTGTTAGCACAAATAAATAAATTTTAGTCACCAGAAGAAATGTCGTACCTAATAATAATTTTTATGAATTATACATTTTGCTTTTATGTTTTGAACCACGTTACGATTTTATTTGACCTCAAAAAGTAATTTTATGGTAAAGCTATTAATGTAATTTAATATTATTAAATTAATGTCTAATTTATAACTTCACTTGTTCAAATGTCACGATATAGGGTAACTCCGGCAAATACGCCGCGCTGGAATTTACGCCGCAGAAGTCAGAAAAAATAGAAGGAGTAGGGGTAATTTTCCCGCAACTACTCTGTTACATGCCTTTATATTATATTAGTATTGTGTTACGATTTCAGCTTCTTACTGTTAATATTAATGAAATTATTGTGAATTGAATCGATTTGTCACCGCAATAAGTAGCGCCATCATAAGTTATAATCTACATAAAATGATTACTGTAGGGCGTGTAAAAGACCTAGTGGTTATTTCGTTACACATACGTGTAGAAGAATAGTAAAACATGTTTTATAGCAAAATACAAGTGCTTTGCTCTTGTATTCTTTGTTTAATTTACTGTCTCTCTCTCTATTGTATATCCCACCTGTTTGGGATATACGGCATTTTTAGCGGACGGGATTTATACCCAAAGCATACAAAGTGCGCAGATTGAATTCAGTGCCCTAAATGCAATAAATATATTACATGAAATATGTACCTCATGTCATAACACTTGTAATATATGTAGGAAGATTGTAATTATTATTTATTACTTCATATATATATTTATCATTTTTATTCCTTAATAAAACTTTATAAATGCATTTTATAAGTTACTGTGTCATTTTATTTATAAGCATTATTTGTAAATTTTTCATGAGCCGTACATACCCTCCTCTCCCCTATGAGTAGCCATATATCCCACCCCTATGGGATATAGGTACGGCAAAAATGCAAGGGTTTCAAAAAGTTCATTTCTTAATATTAAAATAAATATTTCGGATTTCTAACATTGTTTTCATAGTAGTAGACAGTACAAAATTTTTACTGATATAATTCGTTTACTTTAAACATAGTAAATAATACGTAACAAATTAAATTTTTGATAGGTGCGGCGTGTATATCGAAGTTACCCTATCTTTATTACATAACGAACTATTATAATGTAGACATGGTCAAATAATTAAATAATAACTATAAAATTGATTTAATTTAATACATTTTGATAAGAAACAGCAACACTACATACACACATTACTATAAAATCACCAAAAAATTACAAAAAAGTATGTGTATGTTATTATTTTAATTGTTACTTGTAATGTTTAGCATCATTTTTCTGTAATAATGGGATATATTCGAATTTTTAGGGAAAATAATCTGTTCAGCAATATCTGGAGTGTTCAAGGCATAGGCTGCATCGTAAATCCTCGGTCAACGCACATTAAACAATAGACATAATATACTTAGGTCTGTATTCATTGTTAGATCTTACATTTAAGACCGTCTTAAGTACAGTCATAAAATATCATGAATCAAGAAATCAGAAAGCCATATTAGCATTTTAAGATATTACTTAAGATGATCTTAAAAATAACCGATTATGAATACCGGCCTTTAGCCACAGTTTTATAAAGAGAAATTTTCCATGAATTAAAGTCTCCTAGATTTTAGGTACATTAAAATTGTAATGTATAAGTTTGTTGTAATATATAAGTTGTAAAATATATAAGTTTTTTTTTAAATACAACTTTAATCTTTTTATATACTCGATTTCTTTCAAAAAACTGCTGACCACATTGTTGTGCCGTTGACTGTAATCTCATAATTGTAAAATAATGTAGCAAATTATAAACAATAAAGTTTTAAAAAACATTGCAAAAATATTGCAATGTAACAATTGTGAAATATAATATTATATCTTTTGTGCTGAAAAGTTTAGTTTTACACGCTGAAAAAAAATTATATAATGACAAGGATTGATACACATTAAAATAAAAAAATAATTTTTATGGAAGCTTTTTGCGAAATAACATTTTTAAATTAAATTTTTAGTATTGTTATAAAATATTATTACTTGCACGTTTAAATTTTCGACTTTTACAATATATATTATCATACGGTAAAGGATTTGCACAATAATTACAACTTTTATTCTTTGAGTTGTATTTTTACGACATGACTACCATTACCTTTTGTCGAGTTGTTTTTTTCCAGTTTTTATATTTAACAATAACATTTCCATAAAAATCTACACGACACATATTGTTTCTGGAAGAAACCTTTTTATTGTGTAATTTATAGTGTATATATACCTAATATATAGCATTTTAACTTTCTTCATACAAACTTCCTTTTTATATGAATAGATTGTATACTATAATACAATTTTAATATTTCTAAA